CACGTGGGGGGACTCAGTACCACAGCAATTATTTAAGGATGGAAGGCAGGGAGCAGACCGGAGAATGTTGTTCTCCACTCTGCTCTGTGATCAGTGACACAGGAGTTCTGTATTCACAGCGCTTCCTGCGTTAGCTGTCACAAACGAAGCTGTACAGAAGATACAGCACAATGCTGTGCTGGGTTTTCTGTAATGGAGGTCAGGCTCACAAAGAGAACCTGTCACCTCCAAATGATATCACATAGGAGCTTGTTATATCAATAAAGTTAGGTGGAAAAAAAAGTGATTGAAAAAAAACTAATTAATAAAAAGTAAAAAAGTGATAAAAAGGTAAAAAAGACTTTAAAAAAATACAAAATAATAAAATAAAAATTATAAATGAAAAAATGTGGCAAAAGGTAAAAAAATTTGATTAAAAAAATAAAAAGTGTTAAAAAGGTAAAAGAAAATCAAATAAAATATGAATAAAATAAAAGTCAACCCGCACCCCCTGCCATCTATGTGCAAATAAACGTAGTAGGCTATTGTGTGTGTGCGTGCCACCCTCCAGAAGGAAGGACAGTGTCAGCATGAATTCAGAGATGATTTGAGGATCTACAGCCGAGTGATACACAAATAAGCTACATTTTTGTTAACAGTTAAGGTACTTGAATGCATTTCTAAGGTTTAACTCCTGAGTTTAGTATCACTTAAGTTTTAAGGGAGAACTTTAAGGTTAGGTTAGGTTTGGACTGGAGTACCTGTTTTCATTACCCAGTACTTTAGTGCCCACAATAGAAGTATCCTGCCAGCCTTTGGTGTCAGTGAATTATCAATGAATATAATTAGGTGTTGTGTATCTCTTCCTCCTCCTCTGGTTATGAGCAGGGGGTCTCTCTATTTGGAATCCTTGCTGGTCAGCTATTTTCATAGTAGTGCTGAGCAGCTTTGAATATACAGCAATTTGGGCTCTTTGGTTTTCCAGAACAACGTGGCCTAAAGTTAAAACACTAAAACGGTTGCATCTAAACATAAGAAGAGCCCTGCAAAATGTATAAAAACATTAATTGCTAAATAATTGCATGAAAAAACAATGACATTTACACTGTTGGCCTTTCATTTATAGACGACCACGAGTGTGTAGCTTGACCTTCCAGGTTTTGTTGCCCTAACTATTCTACTTTTATGTAATAATCCCAGCAAATCAGATTGTGGATGTGCATGAAAACATTTCCAAAGTGGGGACACATTTACTGCTACCTGGCATTTTATTTTGTAAATTCTTCCATCAGGCCAGATCTAGCATTGCACCAGTTTAAAAAAAGCCCTCCACCATCTCTAAGGGAACCTGTCTGAGGTTGCAAAAATGTTGTATATATGTTTAAAAATTTAAATTTGCAAAGACTGTTTCCTAGAGCTTAAGATCAGGTGTCTTCTTGTATGTGTATGAGTTGCATGAAATAGGGAAATTGATATCTTGGGTAACAGATGCTAAAAACACCTAAAATGGTCTTTATTAATTCTAATGACCAATCAAATATTTCTATTCGATTTTGTAACCTGCAGAAGTAAAAGTATCTTCTAAGTGGTTGCAGTGAGGAATGTAGGTACCTTTAAAAGAGAACTATGGCCCAACTTTTTGGGGTCCATAGTTCTCTATAGCTCACAGGAGGACATATGCTATGTCCTCCTGTCACCAAAAACTCAGCATATAGTGGGCTATTGCCGGCTATATGCTGACAGCACAGGGCTGCGCTGCGGCCAGGAAATATCCCGACAATGTTGTCGGTTTCCACCCCTCCAGCTGATTGACACTCTAGAGCAGGCCTTCTTAAACTGTTTCCACTCGTGACCCCTTTTTGGCGGATTAAATTTTTACGTGACCCCAGCGTCAGACAGTGTTTCTCCCCTCTTTCCCAACAGCGTCGGTTGGCTTCTCCCTCCTCCTCCCCCCCAGCATTAATCAGTGTCTGTCTCCTCCATACCTAACATTGGTCAGTGTCTCTCTCCTCCTCCAAATCTTGCTTGGAGCACAGGCCTCCACCCCGCCTGGGCCCCTCACTCGAGTACTGGCTGTACCCCCTGATGGCGGCCCTGGCCAGGAATTCAGATCGCAACCCCCGCATTCACACTTTAAGAAGCAATGCTTTAGAGGCAGAGCCAGCTGTGCCCACCCCCTCCCCTGTCTGTCCCTCCAATGAGCACTGGAGCAACAGAGAGGGGAGGGGGGAATCCCTGCGGGGAGCAGTGACTGCCACTCTGCAGGGAGAGGATCATGAAATGAGTGATCAGCAGTGATTGCTCAGTTCTCGATCAATAGAGCCAACGCGTGACAGCTTTGTTTTTTAGAAAATCAGCCACAACGTAAGTAGAATAGCCTGTGTCCTGCCAGCAGCTGCAGTGCTGGGACTCTTGCTGTCTGTGGGAAAGCAGTGCACTCTGTGCAGAGGTCTGACACCCCTTCTGCTAGGCCAGAGATCTCCAATCAGTTGGTAGCGTGAGCTTTGCGGAATGCAGCTATAGATCTGACTCAGTAGGAGGCATGTCAGACCTCTGCAATAACACCACTGATTCCCCACAGAAAGAATGGCGCTGCTGGCAGGGAACAGGCTATTTTGTACTAAGGCTGTGGCTGCTTTGGAAAAAAATAAACTGTAATACATTGAATAACTTTTGTTTTGATGCTCCTTGAATGTATTCAGCTGATTTAAACTTTAAGCTTTTTGGTAACAACAGTGCAGAAGTGCAGGCACCTTGTGATGACTGTAAGTACCTGCATTAGTCTTCAACTGATGTGTGTCCTCTTGGATCCAAAGCCCAGACTGTACATGGGGCCTTAACTTGGGGTCCCTCCAGCCACCACAAGGTGCAGCACTGTAGTACTCCTGCTACATGTTAGGTCAGGTTCATTCTATTTCTTCCAGTGTCATGAGGGGAGTACAGTAGAAGTCAGAGACAGTGGAAGGAACAGACTGGTCAATCATCCTGTGATGACAAATGTATCTTTTCATGACACAAATGTTATAAAATGAGTTGAGTTTATTCATGTAGTCAGCTGTTTGATGCCTACAATACCAAAGGTGGGGAAAGATTAGAGTGTTGGCCAAGTGGGTTAGAAAATGGAGTTTGCTGTGATGTCATTTTCTTCAATTGCTGATTGTCCTGTGTGTGTTCAGGGATTGACTACGACTCATGTCCGACCACAGCAGAATGTGAGCACAACGCCGAGGAGTCCTTCTGGAGAATTGCTTCTGTAGCTGTAAGTTGTATATTACTTTATCCCGGGATCAATGCATTGGTCAGCAGAACTACCTAACTCACCATGGTCATCTGTACAGATGGGGGCTCAGACAGACATTATTCACAGCTACTGACTGAGATTAATTTTTTTAAAAGAAGAACTCCAGGTATGCAAAAAGTTAACCCCTGCAGTGGGGCTACCCCCATACTTCAAGGGTTAACTGCACGTTTTCCTCTAGACGCCGGAATAAAGAAGATATGCTCACCCTAGCCTCGATACTGCAGTGGTGAGTGTTTACTTCTCTCCCCTCTGCTCTGGCTGTGGTATGTCCCTAGATGTCCTCACACGCAATGCAAATGAATGGATTTGATGACGTCAGCGGTCCTTAGAGCGCCGGAGCCTGGGGGAGTTTGGTCTAGCAGCCAGGTGGGACCAAGGATCAGGTGAGTATGTTTCTTTTAAAATACTTGAATGCATTTTTAGGGTTTAACTCAAGTTTAGAGTCACTTTAAGATGTCAGCTCAGCATTGTCAATAGTATATTTAACAGACTAAAAGGGGATAAAATAAGAGAAGTTCATTGTCAGGGTTTACATACACTTTACCTGTTGTCTTCCCTAGCTGCACATACCCGCCTTCCCTGCACTCCTCCAGTGCTCAGTAGTTCTGGGTATGGGGGAGCATGTGGCTCACTCCCCTTCCTCCCATGTGACAGTGCTAGCGCATGGCCATCTACGCACCCATTGCTCCTACATTGGGCTCGTGAGAGAGCCCCCAGCCTATTTAATGTAATTGTATCCAAAGTAATGTAATAGGAATCCACCCTGCTTATGTAATGTTTTGTTTCAATTTGTAGTATGCTAAACAGAGTTCCGGTGAAATCCAGATCCTGCTGAATGGATCCACACCAGGAGGTGCTTTCCCTATGCCCAGGTAAAAATGAATAACTTTATCAGTCATCAAGTTTGTGTACACAGGCATTACTAGCTTGCATTTTAGTAGCTTTACAGTTGCCGCAGAGTTGCTTCTTGTTGCTTTTGTAATCACATTGACTTGTATGAGGAAGACAAGCAAACTAAAGCCAGTGTAATGTTCCATAACCCTCTACATTAGGGGACAGGTTATGTGAAATGTGCACTTAACCACCCTCTAGCTTCCCTGAGCAGTCCCGGGACAGGTTGGTTTTTAATACTTTATTATATCTCTCTGACTGTAAAGTTGAATTATTCTTACATACAGCTAATGCCATGATAAGTGATGTCAAATTGAATGATCTTGTTTTCAGCTTTTTAGCAGACTATGAAATTCCCAATTTTCAAAAGGACAAAGTAACCAAATTTAACATCTGGGTGATGGATGACATTGGAGGAGTTGATGTGTAAGTAACACATTAGTAAGTAAAGGCTTTTACCTTTTATATGGTACCATAATATTGTATCAACCTTTGTAATAACTGTAATCTGTGCTTCAGTTAATGTGACTGAGTGATATCTAGGGCTCCTCTCGACTGAAATACTGCATTCCTGAGAACCAGCACAATGACTGATCATAGACATCATCCTCAAAGATGCATATCTGCAGTGTGAGGTCATCTAAGACATTACTATACCCAGGAGATTTGGAGTCAGGTGTGGTTATGTCATTACCATGCTCACTGTTCTCCTTGCTGGAGAGGAAGCTGTACCTGAGGACCAGCAGTGCAAGGATCTCTCTGCTTCTGCTTCATCCATTGTGTGCATTGCTGTTTCTTCCACCTCTACTGTTGTTTCATAATGATTACCTCGTGATAAAGCAAAGCCTGCTCCTCTGCTAAGAAGGATGACCCGCACAGTGTAAAACAAGGCATAGCAAATCACTAATGGGAAAAAGATCAGCTGCAGGGAGGCCACAGACAATACTAGTGACAAGGGTGTTCTTTTGATGGTATTGTCTTCCGAGAGTTAATTATCTAAAAAATAAAAATTCCCCTTTTTTCTTTTAGTTTAACAGTTGATCATTTAAAACTAGTGTTACAATAGATATAAAGTGCTAATTTATATCTATCTTATATCTATGTTATATGTATTTGGCACATGACACCAATATTATGTGTCACGGGGGCCACGTACCTGAGGTGAGACTGAAGTAGTGGGGAGGCCTCCCTTGAACCTCAGGTCTTGAAGTCTCTGGAGAAGGAGATTTGGTGGACACCGAATGGCACGGGTGCCAGGGGTGCGGAGCACCGTGCAAGCGTTAGTCCGAGATCCGAGCAGAGGTCAAGTCCACTCTGGCATCGAAGTACACAAGGGTTAATCAGAAGAATGTTCGAGATCCAAGCCGGGGTCGGTTCCAATTTGGCAACGAAGTACACAAGGGGCAAAGAAGTAGAATGGTCAAGGTACAAATCCGAGGTCAATGGCAGGCAGCAATCAAGAGTAGTCAAATAGGTTTCCAGGTCACAACAAGTTCAGACAGATCACACACTAGCACAGAAACAAGGGAGGACTGAAGATAATCCAGCAATTTGGCAGTGTCTGGGCTTATATAGGGAAGTGATGATTGAAGTTTGAGGTCACTTCCTGTGCACCTCCTTGGCATTTTCCCGCCTTTTTCCATCAGGTTGAGGTCACTTCCTGTGCGCCTCCTGGGCATTTTCCTGCCTTTTTCCATCATGTTGAGGTCACTTCCTGTGCGCCTCCTGGGCATTTTCCTGCCTTTTTCCATCAGGTCTTCTGCGCATGCGCGGGTTGGCGCTCTGACGCGTCTTTGGCGCATGCGCAGCTGGCGCGGATTTCCTCTTGCGGCAACGTGCCATTGGCGCATGCGTAGTAAGCCCTGGACTCTTACATTATGTTTCAGGTACATTTAGGTTTGATAGGTTTGATTAAGATTCACTGAACTTTCAGCTTTCAAGACTTATATATTTGTCACATAAGATTCAATTAGAAAAATGTGTGAATCGAGTGAAATCTGTGTGAATTTTAGGCGGTTTTTAACACTATGCTACATAAAATAAACAAACAAAAAGACCAAAAACAGATAAATGGATTTTATTCAAAAACGTTTTTTATACATTATTTACGTGAGCAGGGAGAGGAAGATTTTAAACGGGGCTAGTCAAGGTTAACTTAGGGGTCAATTGGTTTAAATAATAGAGACTTTTATTTAAAAGAAAAACAAATTTTCTTTCTAGTTTCAAGTTTGCTTCAGGAACTTATGTGTTAAAAAAGGAACATTGTAATCAACTGCACCAGACATCTGCAGATAATGCAATTAATCCTTTGTTATTCACATTTTATCACCTGTTTATCATTTTAAATTCGTATTACAGATCTGTGCTAAAAGCTGCTCTTATACACAAGTGGGACCTTGGCTGTCAAACGGGTCTAAAGAGTTATTTCAATGGGTGGTGGTCACCTTGGTAATTATAGAAAGCCTTAAACTGCAGTTTCTAAAGCAAGCAAAATACTTTCTTGTATTAAAAGATGTATCTAGACTTCAGAGATAGAGACATAATCCTGCCCCCGAACAAAGCATTAGTAAGACCTCATCTGTGACCACCCTTCCTTGTATTATAAGAGGTATAGACTCCAGAGGTAGAGACATAATGCTGCCCCTGTACAAAGCATTAGTAAGACATCTGGAATATGCAGTTCAGTTTTGGGCACCAGTTCACAAAAAGGATGTTGTGGAACTGGAGAAAGTGCAGAGAAGGGCGACTAAACTCATAAGAGGCATGGAGAAGCTCAGCTACGAGGGAAGATTAGCTGACCTGAATTTGTTCTCTCTGGAGAAGAGGTGACTAAGGGGGGACATGATCACCATATATAAATACATAAATGGTCCAGAGTCTCTGACCAACTTGCAGGTCACAAATTGATGTAATGCTCCTGTGTGGCCTTTTTCAATGTTTTATCATACTATTGTGACCACCGATGTATACATCAGTACTGCTTATATGCGACAGGTACACAGACTGTCATATGAGTATAAAATCTGCTTATTGTATGTTTCAGAGACTCATGTGGAAAGAACAGCACAGAGATACTGGAGTCTATCCTAACATCAATACATTTTCCATACAAGTGTGTCGACAATTACAGGCAAGAGACAAAAACAATATGCTGTAAAGGATTAAATATGTGAAATACCGTGTATGTATGTAGTACAAAGTGCAGGAAAAATACAACACCTTTATTTATACAAAGAGAACAAGAAAGGCCATAGAAAAGAGTTATGTTGGTGTAACAGACTTCCACAGTCATAACAATTACAATATAAAAAAGTTTAATAGTCCATAAGGAAGTGCAACAAAAAATATTTTCGTTAACAACCTACTCTTGGGACACCGCTGGGACTGCCGCTGAGACTGCATTTCTATTGCCTAAAGTCAACCACAGTGTGGTGAGTGCGCACCCCAGAAGGGAGCATGTTGTGAACACTAACACATGGGGGTCTATTCACAAAGCTGCCGAAGGATCTGGCCGTAGCTTCGGCCGATCCTTCGGCTAGCTTCGGCACCAGGACCCCTAGGTGTGGAAAAAAGGATTTTTTCAAACACTCTTAAACACTTTTTGGATTATTGTCATCAATTAAAGAAACTTTATATTTGGACACACCATATCACTAATTTCTGTTGCAAAAAATATTTTTTGTTGCACTTCCTTATGGACTATTAAGTTGGGATAATTTTGATGCACTTCATTTATTATTCATCACGTTTGATGTTATTTAGCACAAGGCGTTTATATCCACATTAAAATTGTGTTAAATATTGTGGGATATATGCATTGATATATAGATTGTATGCACGTTTGCACTGAATAGAGACTCTGCACCTTATATTCTTCCACTGTCCATAAGCGCAGATTTTATAGATTTTCTAAAAAAAAGTTTACATTTACAAAGCAATGTATGTTTTCTTTATTTGGGGTCCAGGCTTAAGCTGGGCATATATCAAGGTGGCCATACACTTTACAACCCAAAAAAAACAAAAGTCTTGCGAGGGTTGTAAAGTAATTAAAAAAACATACGATCTGCCCATCTTGGACAGGCAGATTGTACTTTCGATCTTCGCAAGATGACTGCAAACAGGCAGTGTGCGTGTGCGCACACCGGCCCGTTCGGCAGTTGTCGAACAAGCAGGCCACTAACCCGCCGAGAATCGTACGATTCCCGGCGGGTTTTCCAGACTGCTTGTTCGATGGAAGACGTGTGCGTCCGTACAGTAGAAACGGTCGCACACCTTCCATACACTTTGCAATTATTGTATGATCGTGGGATTTCCTGCAATTCTCATACGATAATCGTGCAGTGTATGGGCACCTTCAGTAGGATCCAACACTTTTTTTCATTGCTTATTTGAACGAATCAAATTTAACCATGAATGTGATTTTCGTTCGGGATAAATCGTACATATTGTAATGTGCATGTGCTAGGCATTAAAGAAACATGCTTTAATATAGGGGATTTAGGATGGGATATGGGATGAAATTTTAAGAGCTTTGGAACTAAATTAGTTAACTCATTGATGGCAAGATCGAATGCTCTGACAAACAAATGAAATTCTAATAGTGCATGGCCAGCTTTAGATTCAGGGCCTTTGTTGTAAATAATAGGATGGCTTGGTTGAGGGATATGGCAGGGGGTGGGTTAGTGGGGTGGGTAGGATGATAGGTGGAGGGGATGTGACACAGAAAAGGAGTAAATAGGTAAAGGAAAAAAGGTATGTGGGTCTAATTCTTGTCAGTCTGGAAAGCAAATTAAAAAGACATTATGTATAGTAATTTATTTCACAAGGGCATCCCAGAAGCCAGGGTGAAGTACCCCTTAGCTTAGGGACAGTGGCCTATGTTAGGTTTATTAATTTGAAACAATTTTAAAATCAAGTAGTGGATAAAAATATTTGCAATATAGAAGGTGGGTAACATCCGAGGCATCATGCCCTCCTCGTATGCAGAATGATTATGTCCAAGTCACAGGGATAAAGAAGACCTGTGTTTTCCAAAGTGCTGCTCTAGTGCAGTTATAAGGTATCCTTGGAGGATGTCCACTACTGCGTTCTGTGTAGCTGAGGTTTTACAAATCATTGACGGGAGCTAAAGCGTATGTCTGGGCAAAATGAAAAAAATGTTCAGAACATGACTGTAATATATGCACATTTGTCCATGTGTTGTCTCTTTAAAAATGATCCAAAAAAGTACAGACATATACCTGTATATCCTGCAAGTAATCCAGTTAGCTCCTTACTTCTAGTAGTGAGCTGACAACTCTGCCTCTGTTGCACTGAAATCCCAAACATTGTTACCAGCCCTGCATGAGCTATCCCACTCTCCCTTACAGAACACCTCTCACATCTCCATAACACACTGAGAAGGTGTTCTGTAGTCCAACAGGGGAGAACTCAAAGTCAGCTCACTACATCAAGGTAGGAGCTGAGTGTATCTCTGGTACATCAACAGGTCATTTTCTGTTTACTAGTCTATTAGTTCAAAATGGAGAGGGATTGGAACAGCCGTCAGCTTTTTTATCACTATGTTGCTGTTGGGGAGATTCACCCTTGCTAGTTGTCCTTGTGACCATTTTCACTAAAAAGTGAAACAAAATCCCACATTTTGGGTTGTCATCAGAACAGGAGTAAATGGGAAATTTCCCAGTGGGGACAGTAGTTCCAGTGACCCTGCTGACTACCAGGGATTTCCCTCTCTTTGGAGATATTTCCTCTCTGTTGTGGCAGTCAAGGGAAATCTCCCGATGGAACACAGTTGGCAAAAAAAAGCTGAGGGGGTTACAACCCTCCGCTAATAAAAAAACGTTTTGGCTTCAGTTTTACTTTGAGAGGTACATTTTAAAGTGGAAGGTTTATACTTAATGTCTTCTCCAGGTATATGTATAAATGCACCTCTTCTCGATGCTGCAACCTTTTTGGACTTTTTTTGTTTATATTTTTGAATCTGTGGGAGGAGTGACTGACAGCGACTAAGGGGGGGAGAGAGGGAGGGCGAGAAAGAGAGGGGGAGAGAGAGAGGGGGGGAGAGAGAGAGAGAGCGCGTTTGACTGACTGTTCTAGTATCTTTGTTTCCTGTTTTATATCCTGTTATAGTAACACTGTTTCCTTCTTGCTCTCAGACCGGTCAGGATTTTGCAGTGCGTGGACTTCCCTGATCACCCAGATTGTACATCAAATAACAGGAGCGCCTTTACCACCTCATCATGGATGATGATGACGACTCTCGCTTTCTTTACCTTGATAAATAATCACGTCAAAATGTTTAACAATTAAAAAAAATCTTTTTTTTTTTATTCAACCTTACGTACCGTATTTAATCTGCTACTATACTTACCTTCATTTGACATTTTTCATCTTTGCTGAAACAACTGTAGGAGTTGCAACTCCTGACCTTTCTTTCTGAAAATGTGAGTTGCCTGACTGTCATGCTAAACCAATGGCTTTAATACTTAAGTCATTGAAGCAGACCACATGCTAATTGGATGTTCAGACTTTTCTGGGTGCATGCTTTACTTGCTGGGTCAATGGGTAAAGATGTGTCTTTCCGCACCTCTCCTGCTGCTTTTCCTTCAATACCCTATCAGTCATCAGATCACCATTCATCAAGGGGGCAGCTCTGACATGAAGAAGCTAAAGCCCTGCCTCTACCAACATGGTTACACAGAGTCTTAGTATAGATCAAGGCATGGTGGGTCAGTAATGGGGTAAGGAATAACTACAGATGGCCTTCGGGGGAATAATGGTGCTTGCCTTTTTTGCACAGCTTCCATAGTTCAGGTCCTTTTTAGCTATAGTAAGTGTGATAGTTTGGGAATTTTGCACAATGGTGATCACTAAGTGACCACTTGATAGCCGACTTTTACATAAAATAAATATTGTTCAGCATAATGAAAAATTACAGTTCATTTGACATCGTATTTCTGTCTCACCGACATCTGGCTGTCCCATACACTCCCAGTGGCCTAGTCTCAGGACTTTACCATATTTCTACACAAATATAGTCCTCACTACCGCTCAGTAGCTTCCATCAGCTCCAAGCGTTTCATTGCTCACCCTTCATGGGTCACTGTCTCTCTCTCAGTCTCTCCAACCGCTTCCCTCAGATGTCACCGACCCTCTTAAACTCTCCCAGCCTCCCCAGACTGTTCCACATGTGCTTCAACCATGAGTCTGTAACGTCCCACCTCGGTGTATGTGTACCTATGGATCGCAACTGCGGAGGATGGATTGGGGTCAGTATGCAGATGAGTCTCTTATGCCTCTTGGTGGAGTAAGGCTGCGAGATTACCGCTTGACATCATACCCCGTGCGTTTGGTATAGAGAAGCTGGTGGAATTTACTGAGGCAATGGCCTACAGCAGTAAGGTAAGGCAATGCAGTGTGAGGCTAATCACAATCAATGGAATTCGCAGAGTTCATGCAATGGGCATGAAGATCAAGCACAATCAATGGTATTAGCAGAGTTCATGCAATGGACATGAAGGTAAAGCACAATCAATGGTATTAGCAGAGTTCATGCAATGGACATGAAGGTAAAGCACAATCAATGGTATTAGCAGAGTTCATGCAATGGACATGAAGGTAAAGCGCAATTGATGGTATTAGCGGAGTGTTAGGTTCCTGGGGTCCTATGCAGGGAGCCCCGGGTACTTGCGTTTGATATCAGAGTTCGTTGATCCCATCAACTATGCTCCCCCAGAAGGTGGATGTGTCTCAGTGCTCCGTGGTCCGAGAAGGAGATGAGGGGACACTGTGTTGATCAGCGTCCTGCCACAACTGCTGGTAAGACGCCGATCAATTAGTGAACCGCGGCTTTAAGCCGGCGGCTCGTGTGAAGGGAGGAGGAGCCCTGTGACGCGCCTGCCCCTGCTGCTGTCCCTCCTAGACAGTGCAGCCCGAGATCTGCGGCGCGCCTGCGCAGAAGGACGTCGGACCCTACCGCCGGTCCTAGTGGCGGCACGGACGTGACAGAGTCTGCCTATGGCTAGTTGACTCCTGCACACCCACAACTCCTCTGAGCTCTGGTCCAGACTCCTAATAAGACTGCTCTCAGCCACCTAATCTGTCTAGACTGATCATAGGCAACACCTGGCCCCAGGACTTGAGATTCCATCCCGCTACAGTCCAGAAAACCAGGCAGAAACTGAAAAGCCAGCTTCTTCCCTGCAAAACTATTCACATCCTGGAACCTCTAAGCCCCTCTAACTGAGAGTTCTGGGTGACTGTGTTGCCAAATTACATTGTGGCATTGCCACGCACCTCTATATAAGTTATATCAATGTTTTATTGCTCAGTCAATGTCATTAGCTTAAATTAATTACTTTGAAAAACAGGAAATGATTGCTTTTATGAACTATGCTTCTAATTCTGGAGTCAGTGCATTACCACCAGCCTGGAGCAATTCAAATGTGTCACTCTAAAATCTAGTTCTAAGCTAATGTTGGCAGTGGACATCATTGCTGTAAAAATACAGAGAGCCAGCAGAGGGTGCACAATCCACACACATAAAGACACAAGCGTTGAACTCCATTACCTCTCTAGTTTATGTATCACACTTGCCAGTTAATTCACTGATTCAAATATTATTCACCATTTCTAGGACTTGTCACTGGCAAGCTGGATTAGCCAATAACTTTTCTTTTTTTCATTTGTCAAGACTGTGGAGGTGAGATCACTGTGCTGTAGCTTTGTCCCTATCCATGGTATTTGTGGCTTTGTATATTGCATTATAGTGAATTTACAACAGTTGCCTTGCCAAAAGATTTGGGTTTCTGCCTAATTTACACAGTTTTGAAATGTACTCAGATACTTAGGGGGTTACTCACTAAAGTGCCGAAGGATATAGTTGAAGCTTAGACTAATACTTTGGCTCGCTTCTGGCCGCTGGAGCCCTTTGGTTCAGCCGGACCGAAGGGCTGCTGTACCGGCTATTTACAATAGCCCGTGCAGCAGCCAAAGCGCTCAGCCAAGTCGAAGCACATGTGTTTGACACAGCTCTCAGCTTTTTAAAACAACTTTTCTTTTTAACTTAACTTTATTGCTATCACATAGGGGCGCTCACAAGCCAGGGAAACACCATGATATAAAATGTATTTTTGCTATCTTTGATATCACAAACATATTCCTATATTCATCAGCTGCTGTATAAGACATTAAACTTATTATTAAAGTGCTGGCCGCATTGTTCAGTGACAGTGATCCTGAGTAAATAGGGACTGTTTCATATTCTGGTCATGTTCTCTGAAAGATAATGGCTGTTACATGTTAGCAGTAAATACTGAATACTAAATACTCCGAGGCAGTGTGGTGTGTATGGGACTCAGGACCACAGAGTATTCAGCATATAATTATTACAGATCCAATCATGTCTTGGGAAAGTAAAACCTAAAGAACAAAATCAAAACATTAATAATGTAGGGACAGCTCTGGCACAGCAGATTGCCAATGAGCAAGCACTGCAAGATGCTCTCTGTGGATAGGAGCATATTATAGAAATGCTACCTCGGGTCGTCACACTCTCTTTGCCCATGCCCAGGGAATGGAAGATAAACAGCCCATACTTCATACTCAATCCACTTTACCCCAGGAAAAGAGTCTTCAGTCCTGTGTTATTCCAAATAGGATCAACATGATGGAGCTTATGCAGATCATTTGGGGGGGAGGGGTGGGGGGTAATTCAGAGCGAAGGTATGGTAAATATAAAAAAGAACATTTTTCTTTGCCCTTACATTTTAGAACACATAGAAAATAAATATCTGGAAGGCAACAACACCCGAAGAAAGTCCTGTTTGTGCCAAACAACAACGAATCACCTTATTGTAGCAGTCCTCAAACTATGGCCTGCAGGCTAGTAAGGGCCCTCTGCTCATCATAAACTGGACCCTTCAATGAGAAGACCCCCATATAGGCCATTCACATTGCACCCTAGAGGGAGCCACTGAATGCAGCATGTTAGTGGGTGCTTTTCAACACCTTGGAATAGGGCTGCAACAACTAATCGACATAATCGATTATTGAAAAAGTTGTCAACTTTTTCAATCATCGATTAGAATGTATCTTAGGCACTGACAGCTAAGGTGATCTTTTGCCCAACAGTGCCTGCAGAGTTCCAGCTGTGATGTCATCCAGCCAGTATAGGACCAGTATGGGACATATTAGTATATTCAAAGGTAAATAACCCCTAAACACCAATGTTGGGGCCTTCCACTGACCCTATTGATGGGGTACTATTCCTCCCACTGGCACCAACCATGGAGTACTATTCCTCCCACTGACAACAACAATGGGAGTGCTATTCCTCCCTCCAACACCAACCATGGGTAACCATTCCTGTTACTGATACCATCCATGGGGCACTCTTCCCCCCACTGACTCCAACAATCAAGCCCTATTCTTCCTACTGTCATGTCTTGCCTGAGGAAGGGGACGCTGCGGGACCCCGAAACGTTGCACTATAATATGATACGATAACAGTTCATGAACTGTTATCTATTCCTCCCACTGACACCAACTATGTGACAGTTTTTCTCCCACTGACACCAACCATGGGACAAGTTTTCTCCCACTGACACCAACCATGGGACAAGTTTTCTCCCACTGTCACCAACCATGGTGTACTATTCCTTACACTGGCACCAACAATGGGGCACTAATCCTCCCACTCACACCAACTATGTAAAACCTTTCCTCCCTCTGGCACCAGCCATGGGACACTATTTCTTCCACTGACACCAACCATGGGAAACTATTCCTCCCACTGACGCCAACCATAGGGCGCTATTCCTCCCACTGACACCAACCATGAGACAAGTTTCCTCCCACTGTCACCAACCATTGGGCACTATTCCTTACACTATCACCATCAATGGGGCACTAATCCTCCCACTGACACCAACCATGGGACAAGTTTTCTCCCACTGACACCAACTATGGGGCACTATTCCTTCCACTGACACCAACAATGGGATACTTTTCCTTCTGCTGACACCAACTATAGGGCAATATTCCTTCCACTGACACCAACTATGGGACACTATTCCTCCCACTGACACCAACCATGGGATAAGTTTTCTCCCACTGACACCAACAATGGGATACTTTTCCTTCTGCTGACACCAACTATAAGGCGCTATTCCTCCTACTGACACCAACCATAAGACACGTTTCCTCCCACTGTCACCAACCATGGGGCACTATTCCTTACACTATCACCATCAATGGGGCACTAATCCTCCCACTGACACCAACCAATGGGACAAGTTTTCTCCCACTGACACCAACTATGGGGCACTATTCCTTCCACTGACACCAACTATAGGGCACTATTCCTCCCAATGACACCAACCATGGGACAAGTTTTCTCTCACTGACACCAATTATGGGGCACTAATCCTCCCACTGACACCAGCCAATGGGACACTATTCCTCCCACTGACACCAACCATGGGACAAGTTTTTTCCCACTGACACCAACTATGGGGCACTAATCCTCCCACTGACACCAACAATGGGATACTTTTCCTTCTGACACCAACTATAAGGCGCTATTCCTCCCACTGACACCAACCATGTGACAAGTTTTCTCCCACTGACACCAACTATGGGGCACTCATCCTCCCATTGACACCAACAATGGGATACTTTTCCTTCTGCTGACACCAACTATAAGGCGCTATTCCTCCCACTGACACCAGCCATGGACAAGTTTAAACCATTGGGCACTATTCCTTACACTATCACCATCAATGGGGCACTAATCCTCCCACTGACACCAACCATGGGACAAGTTTTCTCCCACTGACACCAACTATGGGGCACTATTCCTTCCACTGACACCAACAATGGGATACTTTTCCTTCTGCTGACACCAACTATAGGGCAATATTCCTTCCACTGACACCAACTATGGGACACTATTCCTCCCACTGACACCAACCATGGGATAAGTTTTCTCCCACTGACACCAACAATGGGATACTTTTCCTTCTGCTGACACCAACTATAAGGCGCTATTCCTCCTACTGACACCAACCATAAGACACGTTTCCTCCCACTGTCACCAACCATTGGGCACTATTCCTTACACTATCACCATCAATGGGGCACTAATCCTCCCACTGACACCAACCATGGGACAAGTTTTCTCCCACTGACACCAACTATGGGGCACTATTCCTTCCACTGACACCAACTATAGGGCACTATTCCTCCCAATGACACCAACCATGGGACAAGTTTTCTCTCACTGACACCAATTATGGGGCACTAATCCTCCCACTGACACCAGCCAATGGGACACTATTCCTCCCACTGACACCAACCATGGGACAAGTTTTTTCCCACTGACACCAACTATGGGGCACTAATCCTCCCACTGACACCAACAATGGGATACTTTTCCTTCTGACACCAACTATAAGGCGCTATTCCTCCCACTGACACCAACCATGTGACAAGTTTTCTCCCACTGACACCAACTATGGGGCACTCATCCTCCCATTGACACCAACAATGGGATACTTTTCCTTCTGCTGACACCAACTATAAGGCGCTATTCCTCCCACTGACACCAGCCATGGACAAGTTTTCTCCCACTGACACCAACTATGGGCACTCATCCTCCCACTGACACCAACAATGGGATACTTTTCCTCTGCGGACACCAACTATAAGGCGCTATTCCTCCCACTGACACCAACCATGAGACAGGTTTCCTCCCACTGTCACCAACTATGGGGCACTAATCCTCCCACTGACACCAACCATGGGACAAGTTTTCTCCCACTGACACCAACTATGGGGCACTATTCCTTCCACTGACACCAACAATGGGATACTTTTCCTTCTGCTGACACCAACTATAAGGCCCTATTCCTCCCACTTACACAAAGATGTCAAATAATGTATTACTATCCCTGACCTTCGATGGATGCAGGGCACTTTTTTATTCCTACTGACCAGAGACGGCAGGGCTTTTTTTTTTTACTTCTACTGGCCACAGACCGGCCCCACAACAGTCTAACAGAGAGTTAACTAGCCCTTTAGTGTCATAAAGATAGAGCTGTATCAATGTGGAAATTGCTTTAGTCTGTGGGTGGACATAAATGAAATGCTGAGGCAGTGAACACAACCAAAATAAAGTTTATTGGATGTTTGACATTTTTTTCTCCTTTAGAAACTTCTTGACATGCTGAGAGAGTCTGCTCTTTCAAATGTTCACAAAAGACCTGTATCTGTATGTGCTGTAAACAAGAGTGGGAGGGAGGGCCAAACAGAATAGAAATTCAGCATCAGCCTCTCACTGACTTGTCTGACTGTTCATACAGGCGTGGGTAGCACATCCAAAAGACGGAGCCCTAATTAGCAGCCTTAGTATGGATACACAAGGGAGGATGAGCAGACTCCTATGTAGAAAGAGCATACTTGCTCTGTCAGTTATAATACTTGCATCCTGTTATAGTGATGCTGAGGAAGAATGTTTTATGAAACTACTAAACAAAAGATACAAAGGACCAGGAACCACACCGAATCTGAAAAACATTATTGTGGGACGATGCTACCACTACATGTCCCTGTATACAGTCACTGGGTGAGTTCATGTGATTGCCTTTTATAATATTTTTTTTCAGCATGTTAGTTTTTATTGATAGAATAAATGGTAACAATGCAGGTAAACTCCAAAGTGAAACAACACATGGATCAAGTAGCAGTGCGCAGACTGCGATCCAAAAATGTAGCTCGATTGCATGTGAACAGTAGTAAGGATTAAACATATCAACATCTGTTGGAACTACTTCAAAAATGTCTCTGTACTGCATGCAGCTGCGCTGGAACAACTACGGCGGTCTACATAGCCTTGGGCTTGAGCCGCAGATGTAAAGCGGTGTTGGTTGCCATCAGGGTCGGATATGCGCAACACAGCTGGGTATGCCAGGATAAACTTAATACGCTTATGCACCAGGGTCTGACAGACCTCATGGAAGGAGCGGCGTTGTTTAGACAGCTCCGCGGAATAATCCGCAAAGAGCAGTAATTTATGGCCGTCCACTATCAACTGGCGCTGCCTCCTGTAGGTTTGCAGGATGTGGTGTTTATCTGAGTAATCAAGGTATCTGACAATGACCGGCCTGGGTCGTTCCTGATCTTTGGGGGGGCCTATTCTGTGTGCCCTTTCCACTGCACAGGTGGATGCGAGGCCCATAGCTTGTGGTAATGTAGAGGCACAGTAACGCTGGAGATCAGTAGGCGGAATAGATTCAGGGATCCCTATGATCCTAATATTATTTCTACGCGATCTGTTTTCAAGGTCGTCAACCTTTTCCTGTAGATATTGTAACGTTTTTCTATCCTCAGAGAGGGATCTGGCTGTACCTGAGGCCTGATCCTCCATATCACTGACACGTGACTCCAGGGTCTGCATCCTAGATGCATGTGCTTCCAGGGCCGCTGTTATAGGCCCCATGTGCAGTTTCAGAGTGTCCACAATGATGGAGCTGATATCTACCCTTAGATGTGAGGCAACAGTGGCTGCCAGTTGTTGGTAATCCAGGGGGGCATGGGGAGATGCATCAGCAGACTCACCCAGCGGTGTGACGTCATCGGCATCTGTGTCTTCCATGGCCGCGGCCTCCTGCTGTGGGGCCACCGGGCTGGAGGGAGCAGCGATGTTGCGGCGGACCGGCTGCGAGGAACCGGAAGTCGCCTTTTATAATATTGTAATAGTATTATTATTGTTGTTATTATTATCATTACTAATGTGTATGTTTTTATTCTTGTTTTTAACATATATACATAACTGCCAGCAGTTTAGAGGGTGAGAGCACCCTACACTGAAATGCAATGGAAAGGCGACAAGGTGAATTATCCATTGTCTTTTGCTCACTCTTAGGATTCTCACTAAAGCTGGCTATACATTGCTTATATTTTCCAAAGAACTTTCTTTTGACTTTCTTTTAGTTAAGGAGTCAAATTAGTTGATCGGTTCAAATTAACAATCGATTTTGACTGTAGTGCCAAAAAATCTCGAAGGAGCAGAATGGAATGAACAAATTTCGAACAGTGAATGTGGTTTTTATTTGGGGAAATCCGTTTATTACCAAATCAAATGTTAGAATAAAAACAAAATTCGATCGACATTCGTCAAATGTCTGATGACATTATTGGGTGTTAAAGAAAGATCTTTTGTATGAAAGTTTGATCAGGAAATGCATCATAATATGAAGTACAGACATTCCTCGGTTAACGACTTACCTGCTTTGCGACCACTCGCACTTACGACGGACCGCCGAGCGACCTCCGACCTCGCGTGTCAACGTCAGTGCGACGTGTCGCCGGCGGAAGTGACATCCTCCGATCTTCACTGCGGGTCCCGGTAAGTATTTTCATTGCCGATGTACAGTACACTGTTCGGTACTGTACATCTGCAACGCTATACAGTACTGTACTAATGCAGTACAGTACTGTATAGAGTTCCTCACTTAACGACCAATTCGTTTAACGAACTGGTCGTAGGAACGGAACTCGGTCGTTAAGTGAGGAATGCCTGTATGGTATTTGGCTGGTCAGGCACTGAGAAAAGCACTCACCTCATAGTTCTCCTTTAAGGTGTGAGGTGTGGGAGATTAGTTGCTGGCGATATGTAGGTAAGTATAGGAAAAGCTTCAGCATTACTTTACATTATTTATTTCTCAGAGTTTCTACAACTATATTTTAGAGCCAATCTTGTAAAATTTTTTCACCTTTACAAGTCACATTTGCACTGTGCTCAATTTCTCTTTTTTTTTCGCTCTTTAAAGCTATTTATGTTGCTGTCGTTATCTGTAAATGCATAAAATCAGCAAAATAAGTACTGCTAGTCTACAGTGGCGAACCTAGGAACAATATATAGGGAGGGGGGGCACATAAGATACCACAGTCAAAACGGGGGTACTAATAATTTTCACCACTAAATCATACCACTGAAAAAAACGAAAGAAGTATATATACCTAGACATTTTAATATCCTTTTTTGCATTAGAGAATTGAAAGATTTCAGTATATAAGGTGGATCTATGCAGATGAGTAGAGTACTGCATACATTGTTCTGGCTATCAGAGACCATAGGGCCCATTTACAGGTGTTTTTGCCTGTTAGGCCTTTCCATTGCAAAAAAATTGAAACACATTAAAATGCACATTATTAATGAGGTGCATCAATGTACATTGCAATGCAGTTTGATATGCATTTAGAGTGTTTCCATTGATTTCAATAGAAAATGCTTCAGGCAAAAATGCATATGTGCAAATAGGCCCAAGGATGCTTGGTAGAAGAGTGTAAGAATCTATTGATTGTCAATTGTCCCAGGGATACCATTAATTCTCATTTAATTAAAACTCTGAATTGCTATAGTCTGTAGAATAGCCAATTGTCTTGATGGATAGATTTGAATACTTGCATTCAACCCACTATGTCAGGTAATTATTTATCACTAGTATGCTGCCATGTAGGCACCAGAAAAATGGTGTCATATTGTTACCATATTTTTCCTTTCCTGGTGCCCTCATGGAATGCGCTCGCCCCACTGAAGGAGGCTCTTGTACAACTGCTTTGCATGCCTTTTTGATCAGTTTAACTATCTGCGATGCCAAGGTTCTGGAGATAGCTTGATTTCCACTATATCTTCCTCCTGGCAAGACAAAGAGTTTGTTTGAATATCTTAATGAAGCTGAAGCAGAAAGTTATGTTTTGCCTATGAGTACAACAATGATGTGCCGAGCTATAAAAAATAGTGCACAGACACCCTGCAGAAACAATCTGCCCAGACTGTCTGGCGAGCATACAAGCATATAAAATATATAAATATATATATGCTCACCAGACAGTCTGGACGGATTGTTTTCTGCAGGGTGTCTACACTATTTTTTATAGCTTGGCACATCATTGTTGTATTTATTTTAGATATATTTGTTATATCCTTAGTGCTTAGTATGTCAGTGAAGGTTCTCATTCATCCAGGTCATGATATATCTGGAAAAAATAAGTCAAGTTATGTGGATTGGAACAACATTCCCCATATTTATTCCCAGATAATTTTTGTACAAGTCATTCTGAATTGAGAAAGCTGGTCGAATGTCCAGCAAAAGATTTTCAAGAAAAATACAGCAAGTCCAGTTGCCTTGACTTATTTTTTCCAGATTTAGTGCTTAGTAGCTCTTATTCACTTTTTGCCACTGGCACTGATCACTTTTGTGTTCTTTTTATGTATTACCTATGTTTTACCTTTGTCTAGAGACGTTGAGGTAATGCAAGGCTCCATTTTCTGAGTCCAGGAGTGTGAGTATAGCCCATTTATGTGCTAGCTGGAATGATTATACAACTTTGAGAACAAAGTGATATAATGGTCGTAGCTTTACTCTATCTGGAAAGATAACAAGATATATTGTTCTTCCGAGCCTATAGGGCACATAGAGCACTTCTCTGTTGAAGCGAAGAAATGCCTCGATTATACACCCATGACCAGGGATAGATTCCATTGGGAAGAGTGGCTTCTGGGAGGATGGATAACATTCTCTTTTGAGGGATGAGATTACTAGAGGTTCGTTGGCCCATCTTTTCTTGGTAACAGCCAAGATTGTGGCTATCTGAACTTTGCTGAAGCTTATCCCCAAATCCAAGCGGTTTGGAGGAAGGCTAATGTGACACAGATAAAGAGACATGGGGGTTGATTTACTAACCTTATAAACACACCACGAACATGTATACACCTCTGTAGTGTGTTCCCTCCCAGCATGATCTATGGGTGGAATCTAAACACCTTTGTAGTGTGTACACACCCAGCAGGTGTGTTGTGCAAAGCCCTGCCCTGAATTGCAAGGTGATGTTGTGAAAATTAGCTCTATGTTGTGTTGCTTGCGTTGATGAATGCAGGAATGTAAATGCATGAGCTAACCATTTTTGTCTAAACTGTGAAGCAGCATTATATATGCATCATGTGCATGATTTTTCCATATATGGCATTATTGGAAATATGCTTATAGAGACTTTTTGGTTGATAAATACGCTTTGCTGTGTAAAAATCACACGCACCTGGTGCGTGCGTGTGTTTAGGTTAGTAAATCACCACCATGGACTCAAGGTTTTTGGTTGCTATAAAAAATACAAACTTGTCCCAGACATTCAAAAAGATGTTGTTTATAGACACTTTTCTTTGTATTTATTAGTGTTAAAATAATTCCTGAAGAGCATCCTAAGCCTTGCAGTCTTCTCTGATCACTTCAACATTCCAAGGGACAGCCTGTCTGTAATTGTGTGTAGGAACTCTCATTGTGCCAGGAGATGTGGAAAGGTCAGGAATATACATTGGAATCGGAATGTAAACACTGAGGTGAATGGAACCAAGGCCTGTGTGGCCAGTAGAGAAGAATGTCAATGACTATCATGTCCTCCACCAGCAACATTGGTAATAATTGCATGATGAGAGTCAGAAGAGGAAAGCCATAAGCGATACTGCAGTCATACTGGCAGGGATTTCCTGCGATTCTCGTACGAGAATTGTGCAGTGTGTGGGCACCTTTAGATTAAAGAAGAAAAATCATTGACAATTAATTTCACACTTTACATACTTTAACCTGTCAAATCTTGATCATTCCTGGTGTGTGGCACACGTTAGAAGATCACTGGAGGTCTGTGTAAATAGAATCTTAAATTTCAAAGTGCTTGGTTGTACCTAACCTTTGCACGACATGTTTATGTATTTCTACATATATCCGCTTGAAACATGTTGCGTGAATCCTGAATAAGGAAGAATTTCTCTTTGTTATTCATGTTTTACCACTCTGTCTGTATTACTGCACCTGGAGGATGGAGGACACTTGCTAGAAACACATGTCATTTTTATAAATACTTAACAGCCATCAGATATTGTGAAACAATGTTGATGGGTTTGCAGTGAGGAGGTTATCATATGCACATATCATTTTTTTTTTTTTACCTTTCATAAAACAAATAAAACATCTGAAATGTTCTCTGAAAAGGTTAAATAAACTATTTAAAGGAGGTATGAGATACACCCTGGACCAATGAAAAATACATTTATTATATTTAAATAGAAGGTAACGCTCTTTTTTTAAAACAACAAGGAAACTGCTGTTTTAACATGTTCACGTTGGCATTTCATATTTGCATACCAGAGAAGAAAAATGGAAAAACAATTTAACAGAAGCAATTTCACACTAGCCAAAGCTAATACATAAAAGCATACTTTGTGTGCCTCATTTATTGTGTTTGTTAAGAAAAATGTGAAGGCTTCCATCAAATAAAAATTAAATGGATAAAAAACTACAAAAAAAAAAAGAAACTGCATGATTGATGGATTCGTCAATTTTCTGTCCCTCCGTTAAAAACCCCAATAAACACACGGACTGCGCGACATGGATTTTAACGGCCACAGCAGCCCTTTTATTAAACAAACAACTTTAACAATAACCAAAAAATACATTTTCTCTAACAGAAAAGTGGCTTCATCAAGGAAATAAATCAAACAGAAAAAAGAAATGTTTAACCAGCGTGAAGCACATTGGACATGTAGTAATCTCTTTCCCTTACATACATCGGGAAAAGTGATAATGGGGTTGGGGTGTAGAGACCTGTCCCTATAATGAGGTAGCCTGAGGCAGTTTCCTCAGGGGGGGCAGCCACAGCGTCCCAGCTCTTAGCAACCTGTGACATGCAGTGTGGCTTCCCACCCAGCTCACTGGTTTGCTGGACAGAGCTGCTGACAGTGCGGTCCCGTGTCCTCTTGTCCGCCTGTACGGGCTGAGGCAGCGGGGACCCCAGGAGAAATGTAGCGCTGCAGCCGGCGGGGCTCGGAGGAGAGAGTTGTCATCCAGGATGGCCAAGTGGTGTGCAGAGAGGAGCAGCGATCGGGGAGGAGAGATGCTGTCATCCTGTCAGTTTCAGAATGACAGCAGCTTTGTGTGTGGCCGAGCGGAGGATCAGTAAATATGTGTCCTCTGTATGCAGCATAAACACTGGAGTGATCAGCTGATGTGCTGTAGTGCGTTGTTAGAACGCATCGCAGTGCTTGATTTTTTTTCTTTTCTTTGTTTTCAAAATAACATTAATTTAACTGTGTGGCAGCGCATGGCAAAGTGTTGTGACGCATTGCCGTGTGTTGTGATACGCTGTGTTGATTAAATGTACGCCTGTATCATGTTATCACAACACACACACCAGCACAGCACACAAACAATTTTTAACATTAGTTGGTTATTTACAGTTTTGCGTTACTTCGGTTTTTTTACTGTTTCGCAAAAAGGCGCAATTTAAAATGTACAAATAACTGTTCTTTATTAACTCAATACAGTTTTATCTTTTAGATTTAGTTAAAAAAAATGTTGTGCACTGATACTGATTTTAGTGTGTTTTATCAATTGAATTGTGTATTTTTATCGGTTTCATATTGATTGGATAAACATTTGCGCAAATATCGCAGGGCCTACAAAATAAGTAGCACCATCTTTTTATTCTACCGGGCCTGCGCTTTCAGAAAATATATGGTTTGGGGTTCTTTTATAAATGCTAGCAAGGCAGCAGTAGAAAATCAAAACAATGGGAAAAATTGCAAAAATGGTGTGGCCAGCTGAGGTGTAAAGCGCTCTGGAGGGCTTAGCAATGAAAGGGTTAAGGGACCTAACTGTGGCTACACAAGGGGGATATTTTTATGTTATGGCGTTTGTTAAATGATTTGTCTGAAGAATTGCTTTTGTGCTTTGGTCATTACGGTTTTGGGATGATTCAAGCGCAATTATTGTCCACTTCTTTATATCTATTATTATAACATTGTAATACTGTATATAATGAAATAATTATACAACTCACCATAATGCAGAATCAGTGGGAGCTCTGAGCATGTTTTCCTGCTCTCAGTTGGCCAGTGCAGCTGTCAGGTGGTCGGTGGGGCTCTCAGGTGGTCGGTGGGGCTCTCAGGTGGTCAGTCCGGGCTCTCACCAGGGGTGCTGAGAGTCTCACTGGCGGAGTCCCTAATCAAGTGGCCGCAGCGAGCAACCTTCTAATATGCCTGATTGTAGGCAGCCCCATTTGCCATTGGGCATACTGAGGCGATCCGGGCCAGCCGGGCCTATTTGCATGGGCAGGCTTGGAGCAGGTGCTGCACACTCACCTATGTTTATCCGGCCCTGGCCGAGGACCGGCGGCTGCGGCCCAGTGGCTGATAGGCCACGGACCTGTACCGGTCTGCAGCCCGGGGGTTGGGGACCCCTGTTGTAGAACACATGCAGCAGGAATATTTACCTGCACTTACTGTATGTTTGGTGAATGTACCATTCACTGCTTCATAAATATACCTCTTAAAGTGTATTAACTATGAACTTCTCTTTTTTGATCGCCTTTGGTCTTTTCTACTGTACTGTAAATATACCATTGAAAGTGTTTTGTTATGTCAGTTCAATAAGTGTAAAAAGAAATGGCAGAAATCTAGTGAGCTTGTAACTTTCTGGGCACTCTACATGTGTTACACTGCTACAGTTAGCATTGTTCCCAGTTATCTCTGTGCACTACAGAACATCTGCCCACTGTGTTATGGAAAGAAAGAAAGAGAGGGGGAGATGTTTTGCAATTCTAATACACTTCCTGTCCTAGGATGACAACACGGTTTCTCCATACTTCCAGCATGGTGAGTAAGTGTCAACCTGGGACAGGAAATCTGGCAGGATCACCAGGGACGATAAAAGAAAAAAAGCCTGCAACATGAAATGCAGCCACAACTTTTTTTATGATCAGATCTGTTGCATCTGTAAAATCCTGTGTAGGGGTTTCCTAGTGTAGAGATTTGGATATACCGTAAGAGCCAATGGTGTGTTCAGATTTCCTCTTGTCATGATACGTTTAGTCTGTATACAAAGTGATCTGTTTATGTTTCCTCCCTAAGGGTAAAGGACTGCAGTAGAATATGGTATGAACTAACAGATGCAGTTTTTAGGAAAGACCCATGTAATGTCACTGAGGAAGATTACATAAACCTATCCCAAGTGGCTGCACAGACAATACCATGTGATAAGGTAACTATTTACATATATTTCATCATCTCTCAAATCATTTTAAGATTAGAAAGGTCATGACCTGCCTCTCGGCTTCGTGATCAGGAAGTCAGGCTGCCTTGCAGTGTCGCTGCTAGGGCAGTGTGAAGCTGGCTTCCTAGCCAATCAGGAAGCCGGGAGGTGGGTCATGACATGCTGCCCAGCTTCCTGATTGGCCAGGAAGCCAGGCTGCCTAGCGTCAGTTGAAACCAGCTTTCTAGCCAATCATGAAGCTGGGAGGTGGGTCATCATGTGTCGGGAAGCCGACTCCATGCTCCGCTGTGGCACTGTCAGTCAGAGGAAATCTCCCTCTGACCGGAAGTTCTGGTATTGGGGTAAGTATCGGAGCAAATGTTCAGTATCGGCACCGATACCAGTAACGGTATCAGTGCATCCCTGGAAATTAGTAATCTAAAAGTGAGATTGCAGCCCTTAACGGGAATGCACTTGCAGTAGATTTAGGTATTAAAGCAGACCTCTGGGCAGAATATTTCTGCTCGTTTGTGTCTGGGTGCTACAAAAAAAAAAGAATACTCACCTGACCCCCGGGGCTGGCTTGCCCTTAGACCGGTCCCTGGAGCCTCTCCCTCTCTGATGTACTGGTCTAACGATCCTCAAGTCTCATCACATTCTATACAGTGTAAAGCAGGGGTAGCCAAACTCCGGCCCTCTAGCTGTGATGGAACTACAAATCCCATGAGGCATTGCAAGATTCTCACAGCCACAGACATGACTCCCAGAGAGAGATGCATCATGGGATTTGTAGTTTCATCCCAGCTGTAGGGCCGGAGTTTGGCTACCCCTGGTGTAAAGGAAGTGAGGAGGTTGAGGAACATACTATTGCTGCAGAGGAGGAGACAGGCCGGAGGGAGTGGAGGGTG